ATGCTTTCATTTCATGCATTAATGTGAAAGACAATTAAGGTATATGAATAAATGAAATGATTATGAAAGAAAATGAAAAGAATTTAATGAAATAAAATTACATATGCATGTTGATCCGGAAGTACCAAACTAATGGTAATGGGGCTTTCAAAAGCCAAATGGTAATGGGGCTTGTATAAGCCAAATGGTAATGGGGTTCTGCGGAGCCAAATGGTAAAGGAAATGGCCAAAACTTTTGACTGCGTACCTGATCAGTACGAAAACTGGTACTTCCGGGACGGATGATACATTTAGCATATTCATTTTTACATTTTGCATTGCATATGAAAGAGATGAAAGAAATCAATTGTTAAAGGAAAGAATGAAAGAAGAAAAAAAATGAATAGTACATGTTATGACTCGCTCAATGAAATGAATTAGTTTTCAATTGTAAATGTTTTTAATATATGCATCTTATGAAATTAATTGTGATATGAATTACTTGCTGAGCGTTGGCTCATTCCTAGTTTTTGGAAATATTTTCAGGAGAGAAGTAATGGCTGCACGACGACCTTACACCTATCGTCGTAGGGGACCTCAGGAGGATGAAAGGTTCCATTTTATGTTTTAAGTTTGAGTCTTTGAGTTTGTTTCTGTAGTCTTTGAGTTGAAGTTTATGTAATGGTAAGAGTTTATGATATGATGATGGGTTTGAAACTTTTAGTGGTTATCAGTCATTTGAATTTGATGTTGTTTAGTGGCTCTTTCTTTATTATGGATGACATTTATGTACTGATACTAATTATATAATGAATTTGATTTATGTTTCTTATGCTCTTCCGTACGACCTTTTGCTCCCGCCCCGTTAACTCGGGCTAGCCGGGTCGGGTCGTGACATAAACCTGGACATTCCGCAGTAACCTGCTGGCATCGATCAAACCTGCATTACAATTCTCCTGGTACCTCCGCTGATGTACCTATGTTAGCCAACAGCTCCGTCGCTGATACCACCCCCTGGTACCTCGACAGTGGCGCCACGGCTCACCTCACCCCTGATGCGTTACCCTTTCAACTACCTTACACTGGTAAGGATCACGTCCTGGTTGGCAATGGCACTCCCCTTCCCGTTCAAAACATCGGCAATGGCCTCTTTCCCACTCCGACCAGTAAGATTCTCATAAATTCTCTCCTTCACGTTCCTCACTTAACACAACGTCTTCTCTCCATTTCTAAATTAATCAACGATAACAACTGCTCAATCTTATTTGATAATACCGATTTTCATTGCCAAGAATGTGCACAACAAATTCTTCTCAGTGGTCAGTGCCATAATGGCCTTTACCCCATTCTTGGCACTTCACCTCCCACAACCCACATTGCCGCTCAAGCTTCTCTGGACTCTTCTGGCCTCACACCTTCCCAGCTGTGGCATCGGCGCCTCAGTCATCCTCACCACATCATACTCAAACAGCTTCTCAAACAACTTACAGCAAAATCTACTAGTTTCCGCAATGAACTCTGTAATTCCTGTGCGTTAGCTAAAAGCCACAGACTCCCTTTTCCCCCCTCCAACCATGTATCTAGTTCTCCTTTACAGCTTTTTGATATGGATGTATGGGGTCCCTCCCCACTTACTTCTTATGATGGTTTCAAATATTACCTGCTTATTGTAGATGATTTCAGTAGATACTCTTGGCTTTTCTTATTACAGTTTAAGTCTAACATCCCAATGTTAATAATAAACTTCGTTAAATTTATTGAAAAACAACTCAACTTATCAGTTCGTCGTATTCGAACTGACGGGGGCGGCGAGTTCGTTAATAACACCCTCAAAAGTTTCTACTCTCAAACCGGAATCAATCACAAACTCACCTGCCCAAACACCCCTCAATAGAACGGAATTGCAGAACGAAAACATCGTCACCTACTGGAAACGGCTCGCACACTCCTTACCGATTCTGCTCTTCCTCGCCTGTTCTGGACAGCAGCCATTCACACTGTCGTTTATCAAATCAATCGTCTGGCTTCCATAAACACAGCTAACCAATCACCATATCAGCGTCTCTACAAACTACAACCATCCTATTCACATATGAGAGTCTTTGGCTGTCGCTGTTATCCTATTCACATATGAGATTTGGTAAACACAGCTAACCAATTTTGTCGATGATTTCCATCGCGTGCACCCCTGCGTTTCATTTATGCGGACGAAACACATTGAGATTGACCATCATTTTGTTCGGGACATCATCCAGTCCAAGCAGATCGCCGTTCATCACATTCCAACTGCCGACCAGCTTGCCGACATGTTTACCAAATCTCTGTCCGCGCCCATTTTTCAGAATCTTCGAAGCAAGTTGATGGTCGTACCTCCCATCACCTTGAGGGACGGTGATAAGCAGACGACGAACTCCACTACGCCGCCGTTCAACAACAACTAACGCCACTCCCTGTTTTCTTCTGCTCTCTCTGCCTTACACAGCTTTACACTTTATGTAACTGTCTGAGGGCAATATTGTCAAAACCTCAGCCTTCTCTTTATGCTCATTGGTGTATTTAAACACTTACATCCCATCGCTACACACAGAGATCATTTCTCATCCAATAGCAAAGCTTCTTCTTCCTTAAGCTCCACTTGCAGGTTTCGCAATTAAATTCACTTAAAATCTGAAAAATAGAGAGGATAAAAAAGTTAAGTATTTAAATAATTGAATATTATTGAATTATTAAAAAGAATTATAATTCGGTAAATGTATGGCCAAATATTTTTGAGACCTTTATTCAAGCTAAGATTATTTCATTCAAATATTATTTGAAACCTGAATAATACATAAATCTCCCACATTCATAAATAAAAATTACTCGATGATTTTCTCCATTAATATGCCCTGCCATTTCCTCCATTAATCTTGTAATATTTATAGTTTTAATTTAAAATTTATAAATTTATTCAGTCGATGTAAGCGAAAATTTATTTTATAAGTGTATATATTATTAACTTTTGTTATTTAATCAATTATAGCAGATTAATTAACAACATTTTATGTATTTTAGAAGTTTTTTTATTTTTTTATTTTTTTATTTTTGTGAGTCAGATCATTTATGGAACTGCATAAATAACTCACTCTTTATTTTTCTATTAATATTCAAAGTTAATTATAGAATGTGAGATAATCCTTTCATTCATACAATGGATATATATCATTTAGATTTGATATTAGACCTCAATACTGTGGTTTGCTTGAGTCAGTTAGACCTTATAATTAGGGTGTCAAAATCGGATTTCAGATCGGATTCCGATCGAAAATAATGCAGGTCCTTATAGAAGAGCTAAATTCATGGAATAAATACAAGCACAACTAAGTGAAAATATATATTAAGAGGACAAAACTTAATAAAGTCAGCAGAAGAGCACCAAATACAAACACAGCCAAGATAAAAGATATCTTAAGAGGAAAAAGCTTAATAAAATCAGAAGAGCACTAAAATATCATCAATCAAATTAAATACCTTTGTTATCCAATGAGATGATGAACATAGAACAAACTCTTCTGCAGCAAATGGCTGATAGAAGGGACGCGCCAATCTTTTGGATCCATGCATAAATAAGCTTTTTCCAAGTTTGGTAAACTTTAAGCTTATTGCATTCATCTAAAGACTTTCAGCAGAAAAATAGGTGGTTAAATAATCAATAAAATGAAAATAACTTAGAGAAGAATGAAAAAAAATAGCTGAAAGATCTGATCTAGTTAAGGTTTTCCATTGGAAAAAAAAGTAAAACCTATATATGAACACAAACACCGAATAAAAAAAAGAAAATACAAAAGAAGACTGCCCATAAAAATGCATAAGAATTTTACAAAAATCACACAATTGAGGGCTACTTCTTATTGCCGCTGCACTAAGGGCATCTCCAACCGAAAATCTCATTTTTCACTCCAAAATACAGTGAAACTAAAAAACGCTGTGATTCATCTCCAATCAAACTCCATTTTACGAGCTTTTGCGAAGGTAACCGTTTACTCCTCTTTTGCACGTTTTTTCGGCAAATCTGGTTGAAACAAAAAAAAATCGCTTAGGTGAACAGTGCAACACGAATATTGGCCTCATACTGTTCACCCTCCACCGATTACCGATTTTTTTGTCGTTCAAGTGGAGAAACCAGCTACGCCTTAACAATCATTTGGAGTTCGGCTGGAGACGCCCTAAATCTTTTGTGTTGGATTACCGTCCTAATTTCTAAAACACAAATATAAAACAGTACCACCAACTTTATAAAAGTCTAAATTTGCATAATCCACCAACAATTAAGTCTATGCATTGCATGTTCATCATAATGCAAAAAATAAGCTCCACAACTTAGCATTTTTTTTTTCAAGGTAACATTAGCATTTGTCATATAAAGTTTCAAGTAAGAAGTGTGAAGTTGCTCTGTTCCACTCAAAATCACAACAATTTCGAAGTTGAAACAGTAAAGGAAAATCTGTTAGCTTCTTTACAACAACAATCAATGAATCTTTCCTGTTGATCCGTGTAGAACAGCCCCAGAAGAATATTAAAAAGGATCTGGGGGATAGCCTCCTGGTCAAAGAAATGTTAGTTCCTCTGGAATTTTTCTGCACCCGCTATTACAGTTTGATGATCCAATGGGGATCCGCAGTGTCTTTGCAGTTCCATATACCTTTCCATATCAAAACTTTTCTTCTGAAACAGCTTTTTTTGTCTTGACAGGAACAATCTCTTCATCAGGTCCTGATATGTTGGATCCTTTGAAGTAAAAAGAAAGTAAGCATAACCAACAATGATTCCAGCTGCGGTGGTGAAGAATGCCACGGGCTCCATTACATCCCAGGAGAATTCCCAGAAGGTGAGCCTGAAGAAGAGAACAACCTGTCCAATAGAGAACCCCAGCCCTGACCACAAAATGCAACGAACTTGTTTGTGTGCAAGCTTATCAATTTCTTCCTTCTTATTCTGTAGCTTATTTAGCTCTTCAAGCCTAGGATCATTCTCAGGCGTCAAACAAAGGGGGACTGCCCTTCTTACCAGATCCACGACCTAAAACAAAATCGGATACTGGAATGAGCCAATCTGAAATTTAGTACTTCGCTACTTTGAATAATTTTTACAGAGGTGAAAGTTAAACTAACAACAAATAAATGAAAGCTCAACCAAACATCTCAAATTGATGCATGTTAGAAACATTATGATTATTCACCAAAATCTTATTTTATATAATTATTATTCATAACGAAGGGCCTGTAAGAATTTCCCGTCTTTAAAAGATTTTCATGGACGAAGCCAGAGATCGCTTAGAACACAGTTTACAGTCTCAAAGAATTGTGCTAAATGGTAACTAGCATGTTCTTCTGCAAGATAAATATATCTGATCTATATTACTCCGTGACAATGAAAAAGATCACGAAATTTCCTGACGATCTGAAAATAAGTCATCCGTATGTAAGAATCTCTAGCACAAGTTCATCCCGCTTCAGCTCCTCTCACAGGGACAAAGATTAAAACGCCTAATTTCTTACTTGATCAAGCAACTGGAACCGACCTCCTTATTACTTAGTTCATTTTACCCAAAGTTTCCTCAGAAGCCATAACGCAACCTCAAACCGACCTTTTCTTGCTAACTAACACAAACCATAAATCAAGAATGTCAAAAATTCAATTTATTATGCAAAACCCAATTACCTTTTCAGGATGGAGATAAACCCGATCTCTGAACAGCAGCACGACACCGGCCTCATCCAAAACCCTAGCAAACGCCTTCGCCTCCTCCTTATTCCTCGCCACCCCAATCCCCTCGCAAGCCTCAAGCAGTTTCGAGTATCCAATCACCTCCTCACTTTCCATCCCAAGCCTTCTCTTCAACGCATCCACGTTCGCCAACTTCATCAGCCTCTTCGCCTCCGCAAACGTCATCGATTCCTCACTTCTGTTGCCCTCTTGTAAGGTAGAGGACGCCGAGGATGAGGGATGAGCCCACGGTAGGGTCAGTCGAGGCTGCTGCTGTTGGTCGGACGCCGGCCATAGGGTTGACAACCTGGTCGGAACTCCGGTGAGTGATTTTCTGACTAGACGGGAAGCCGATGACAATCTCCACATCGTTGCTGGGTTTCGTGAAAGATTGGAGAGGAGGATTTGAGCGAGGGGACGTGCGAGCGGGATCCTGATTTGAAGGCCGAGAGGGGCGACGGGGAGCCGCGTAATCGTCAATGGTTAGGACGGGCCGTGTAGAGGAAACGGAACGGCGTTATGGTTACTGGAACCGTAGATCAAGCAGACCGCGGGTTCCCCAATCGTCCGCGTTCTGAAAATTGTAAAAGAAATTAGGTGAAGATGTTAGTTTGCCTAAATGGTTGTATTATAGTAATAAAGAATATATATATATATATATATATGAAAATTATTACTATAATATATTTTTTCGCTTATAATACACTTGTACTAACATTAAGATGGATTAATTAAAGATTTAACTGTTTATAATTTTTAAAATGATATTAGACTATCTAGTATTAGTTATGTGTGGAATTTGATTGTGTTGAGCAATTATGCTTTAATGATGCGTTAGACCTTAATTTTATTGGTTGAGCTTGTCGGAGGTCCTCCCTTGTTTGTATTAGGATGCTTTGCACATGATTTTTTTTCATACAACAGTAAACTTTGTGGTGTTGTATATATATAAGCAGAGAGTTGATCCTTGCAACCCTCCAGACCCGAGTGTTGGGCCCTTTCAGGCAGACAAGAAACACAGTGTTGAGCATAGCAGTGCTCCAAAGTTTGCCCTGCAACATTGCGAGGTGGATTGATTGTTTTTTACTCGTTTTGTTTGTTGTGTTGTTTACTTCTCAAATGCCTAGTAATCGATAACTGATTTTTTTATCTTATCTCTTTTGCATTATTCCAATCCACTCTAATGAGTGATCAATTTTTTAGATCTTGTATTCACTCCCGACATCATCTCTTTTGTCTGAGCATTTTTTATATATCTATCTCTTTCCTTTGTTATTGGCACATCTAACACAAGCCTTTGACGTACCTTCTAGGTCTTATCTCTTTGAGTCACATTCAATATCGGATTTTTGTTTCCACATCTCAACTCATCCAACATTTTGTCTTGCTCCGTATATGCATCACATTGCCCAACTTCTATGTTGTCGTCGTAGGTTTTTTTCGATTAAAATATTTTATCTGAATAAGGTTTCGGTTGAGACGGCTTTCTTAATATATTTTAAAGAAAATTTTTAATACATAAATTAAAATATTTATAGGTGGACAAGGATAGACATTAATTATATAATTAGATTAATGAAGTGTTGATGGCTTGTTGGATAAGATCGACTTCAGCCAATCAGAAGGCTAAGAAATTTGCCACGTAGAGAGGGCGTGGCGGCTCGACGCCGTTCGTTAAATCTCACGAAGATCCCTTCAAAAGTCAAATCTGAATGACGTGATTGAGCTTAATTATATATTTGTATTACATTATCTTTTTAGTGCAGTTCTCAATAAGAAAGTTTCTAATTGCTTTTCCAACAAATGCTCGACCGTTTTAGGCTTTTAGCATTTTCCAACAAGAAGAAAATCACGTGATGTGAAGATTTATGAGTTATTAAATATAAATTCTAAGACTTAGAATTTGTTTAGGATAATTTAAGTTTTCAGACTTCTCTTTGGTTATTACTTTATTCTTATATTTTAAGAAGTTTATATAACAATAAGCTATTTTTTATAATAGTTTTTTAAAAGTATTTTTTCCGCAACAGTTTTATAATTATCTTTATAAAAAATTATAATAATCCCAAATAGACACTCAGCCATCGCTTCAAAAATTCTTTTTCTAAAAATAACTTTAAAAGAAGTTAAATTAATAATGAAAAAATTTTATTTTCCAAAGATTTTCTTAGTGACTATTTTCCTTATGATAAATTAATCCAAGCAAAACCTTAATTAGCTTGAGGCATTGCATTTTATAAGTATTTTTTATTTAGAGAATATTTTTTTATTTAGGGAGTATGATGATTTTAACATATATTTAGCAATTCAACTGTTTAATTGGATAATTATTTTATAAGTACGAATCGATAAATTTACTCTTTTTTATTAGAATTAGAATTTAAACCACTCAAAGCATTCAAATTATCAATATATTTTAACATATATTTAGCAATTCAATTGTTTAATTGGATACTTGAGTCATTTTTAAAGACATAGTTGTGAAATTTATGTTAACACTTAAAAAAAAATAAAAATACTATAACAATGACCTCTTCAAATTTTGATATCAATTATTTCAAAAAATATTTTAAAAAAATTTGTCACTTCCATTAGCAACCACTATTTTCTCGCACCATTTTTTGAATTTTCGTTCAATTTTAAATTTAAGATTTTAGTAACAAAAAGAGAGGACAAATATCTGATAAATATTTTAATATATTTAAATTTATTAATCATAATTTATTTCTATATTCTTAAATCTAAAAAAATAGACATAATATTATTCTAAAATGAAGCTCTCATGTTATAATATATTAAAAAGATAAATTAAATTATAAGCAATATTAAAATTTAATAACTTTAAATGTAAGCATTTGAAATTTATTTCATAAATTTGATATAAATATCAAATATATTAATAATAAAAAATAAATTGACAATTTTTTTCTCAACTTTGAAGCTAAGTTCTCATTTAGCTCTTGCATAGGCTGAACGTGTTTTGCTGCTCTGGGTTTTTTAGGATTTTTTCTAACCTTACCTCTGGACCGCCTCCTCCTGGCATCCATCTGGGCGGGTTCCTCACCCCCAGCTGGTGGAGCTCTCATCTGATGACTTCCCCCCTCTCTCGAATGCCTCTATTCTGGGATCCCTTCCTTTGCCTAAATCTCCCAAGCCTGCCTCTTATGTAGACAATCTCACCACTACTTCCTTTAAGCCATGTCATTTTTCTGTCTCCTTCTACACCCCAACCCGAAACTCTCCTTAAAGGAGACGACTTATTTGAAGGCTCTGCTATATGGGTCATTTCGCTCGTGGCATACTCTAGCGAGAAAAGGCCTTATTACGAGAGATTACTTGCTGCTATGAAAAAACTATGGATTCTCAAGAGTTCTCTCTCTCTTCTCTACTTAGCGGATGGGTTCTTTCTTTTGAAATTCACCTCATCGGAAGACCTTGATATGGTTTGGAATGGAGGACCGTGGCTTCTTGTAAGTAAGCCATTCATCCTCAAGAGGTGGTCGCCTAAATTCAAACCAATAAGGGATGAATCTGCCTCTATTCCCCTCTGGATTAAGATTATAGATCTCGCGCTTTCTCTGTAGACTCCCACAGGTATTTCACGGATTGTAAGCTACAATGGGGTTCCACTTCCGTTGATACCCTCATTACCAAAAGGACTAGACTTACATTCGCTTAGGTTTGCGTTCAAATCTCTAAGGATTCCCCTTTGCCTGATGAGATTCTCATCCAGATTGAAGGGGAGGACATGAACATCAAAGTTGTCTATGACTGGAAACCAACCTCGTGTGAAGGTTGTGGTTTGTTGATACACCCCTTCTCTTCCTGCCCCTCCAATCCCAGCCCTGTAGCCATTCCCCCTCCTCCTTCCAGGAATTAGGGAAGAAGCTCTTATAGGAAACCTTTTGTCCGAATCACCAAATCTAGCTCCAAACCTCCAACTCTTCCCCCCATTCCCAAACTAGCCATTTCCTTACCTGTGGAAAGTCATTTTCTTTAGGTGGAAAAACACACTACCAATTATGAATTACCTTCTTCTTCCTTACCTCTTGCTGACATACCTAACCCAAACCTCAACATAACCGTTCCTAACCTCAACTCACCTCCTGTTGAGATAGTCCTCTTGGATATTAGTCCTCCACCAATTTTGGTCCCTTCGCAAGTTTTAATTACTCCTCCTACAGTCTACCTTAATAATAAGTTCGCTACTTTGGCCTCCTCCGACCAGCCATCTACTTCACAATCTCTCCCCACCAATAATAAACCTCCTTTCTCTGAAGTTAACTCTTCCCCCTCAAGCCTGTCCTTAGGTTCTTTTCTCTCTGAAGGGGACTCCCCTACCTCCTCCACGCATGAACCCCCTTCCCCTCAATCTCAACACAAGCCTAAGAAGATGAAAGCCAAAATTGCCAAGAAGGCAAAAGGGGCTAAGCATTAATGTCTTCATCTTTTGCAAGTTGGAATGTTAGGGGATTTAATAACCCCAATAAGGTTTACATGTGTATAGAACATGGTCAAAACTCATGATATTAAGCTTCTTTGCATACTTGAAGCTAAATAACAATTCTACAATAATCTTTATAAATAGCTATAGATATCTGAATTGAATCCTTAATATATGTTATAAAATTATGCTTCTTGATTTAAGTTATCTTATGTTTGTAAGTTATTTCAATTTTAATTACTGATAATAGTGAATTTTGGTTTATTAATTAATATTTTGTAGTTATTATTGTTAACAGTGCTTTAATTTTATATAAATATGTAAGTTGAGCACAAACTTATTTAAATAGAATATATTTACTAATTAATGTTTTATAAATATTAGGTTCAACGGCTACAGCAAGCGTTTTACAGATTATTATTGAGGATTTTGTCTTTAATTGCTTTATAATGGTTCATTTGGTTCTTTTTTGTTTTTAATTTTAATTGATTTAAGGAATTGAATAGGATTTATAGAGCATGTTGACGAACGTTGTAGTTTCACCGAACCTGCATAAGAAGATTAGCGAAAACCAAGAACAGAACAATGCAGAGGAATTTTCATATATTCCTTGTGTTACCGTTGCTACAGTAACAATTGATTTAAAGAGAAGAAGATGAAGATGCAGTTGTATCTCAACGGTGGAGATTAGAAGTTCGTGAAAGCAACTGAACGGTGGAGATTGAGTCAGTCTGCCAAAGGCTGCGAAGCAACGGCTCTGTAGTGGAAAAGTAAGCCAACTGATTTAATAAGAGTAGCTGCTTATAAAGTGCATAAAGTGCACTATCCATTATCACCCCCTCTCAAGCTAATGGGAAGCTACTGAACGGTTAGCTTGTCGCGCAAGAGTTGAAACTGGTAGCAGAAAAGGCTTTAGTGAACAGATCAGCCGGCTGATCAATAGAAGCAATGTGATGAACAGAAATTTGTTTTTGCCGGATATAGTCTCTGATAAAATGGAAATCAACTTCGATATGCTTAGTACGTGCATGAAAGACAGGATTCTGTGCTAGAGCCAAAGCAGACACATTGTCACAGAAAAGAGAGGTAGGTGTCGTCGGCGGTATAGAAAAATCCTGTAAAAGACGACGAAGCCAAACAATATCTGTGGCGGCTGTGGCCAGGGCTCGATCTTCAGCTTCGGTAGACGAACGAGCAACCGTCGTTTGTTTCTTGACACACCACGAGACAAGAGTATTTCCAAGAAAAGCACAGTATCCGGTAATAGATCTTCGAGTAGTGGAATCGGCAGCCCAATCAGAATCAGAATAGGCTTGGAGATCAAGAGATGAACTAGTAATTGGTAAACCAAGCTGAATAGTACCGGCAATGTAACGAAGAACTCTCTTAAGAAGCTGATAATGAAATAAATACGGCTGATGCATTTGCTGACAAAGTAGATTCACAGAAAAGGAGAGATCGGGCCGGGTAATGGTAAGATATTGTAAAGAACCAACAAGTTGTTTGTAGAGTTCTGGTTGCTCAAACAGAGAATCAGAGGAATTTACGGTAGGAAGCTTGACTGGTAAAAGAGTGAGAACCGGTTTTGAATCCTGCATCCCAGCTTTTTGAAGTAGTTGAGTAGCATACATAGACTGAGATAGATGCAAGCCATTTGCAATCGGCACCACTTGAATACCCAGAAAATTTGACGCTTGGCCAAGGTTTCGCATTTGAAACCGAGAGTGTAAGGCATGAAGCAGCGAATCTAATGCTTGAGCCGAATTGCCAGTGAGTAAAATATCATCGACATATACCAAGAGATATAACTGTATTGCATCTTTGGAGAACCGAAGGAGGGATGGATCAGCGAGGCTTACTTGAAAGCCATAAGCAATAAGAAATGAGGTAAATGTAGCAAACCATTATCTGGGAGCCTGCTTCAACCCATAAATAGCCTTTTTGAGTAAACAAACATGATGCAGATAGGTTGGATCAACAAACCCGAGAGGTTGCATCATATAAATGGTTTCATCTAGCTTGTCATGTAAGAAGGCATTGGAAATATCTAATTGCAAAATCGGCCAGTTGCTAGTGACGGCAATAGTAAAAAGAATACGTATTGTGGGGAATTTAGCAACTGGACTGAAAGTGTCAAAATAATCAAGACCATACTCTTGATTAAAACCTTGAGCCACCAAACGAGCCTTGTATCGAGCAAGAGAGCCATCCGCATTTCGTTTGGTACGATAGATCCATTTACATCCCAAAATATTATAATGTGGAGAAGTGGGAACTAAGGTCCATGTACCTTGTTGTTGTAACGCCTCAAATTCAGAAGACATGGCTTGTCTCCATTCTGGATATTTAGATGCTTGAGAAAAGCATGTTGGAGCAGTGGGAATTGTAGAATGGACCAAATCGAAGATCTTTTTGGGGTGCAGGGATCCAGTTTTGGATCAAGTGACCATAGAATGTTTGGAGGGAGGAAGTGGGTCAATTTGTGTAGTTGATGGAATGACAGTATTTGGTGCAGTTAATGGTGGAACTGTTGAAGAAGAATTAGGATTATTAACCGGAGTATTGGACTGGGAAGAGGATTGAGAAAGACTTGCGGAGGCTATGGGTTGAGACGAATTTGTGGTGGTAGTTGAGACTGGAATTAATAAAGTTGGGGGTATAGAAGCCGATGGTGACTGAGAGGAAGATTGTTGGGACACTGACTTGTATGGGAAAATGGTTTCAAAAAACTTGACATGCCTGGAAATGTAAAGACGACCAGTAGTAGTATCGAAGCACTTGTAACCTTTTGTGGCTTCAGCATATCCAAGGAATACACAGGGATGCGAACGTGGCTGAAACTTGTTGTGAAGTGGAGACGGGAGCCAGGGATAACAGAGAGAGCCAAATACTCTAAAAACAGAATAATCAGGTGAGCAACCATATAAGCGTTCGTAAGGGGAACGAATTGGAGACAATGTGGAGGGTAAACAATTGATAGTAAAGGCTGCAGTGGCAAGTGCTTCGGGCAAAAAATGATTGGGTAGATTGGCATGAAACAACAGCGCTCGAATAGTCTCCAGGAGATGTCGGTGCTTGCGTTCAGACATTCCATTTTGCTGAGGCGTATATGGACAAGTCAGTTGATGAACAATTCCACATTGTTTAAGATAAGTAGTGAAGGAATTATTTAGATATTCGCCTCCACGATCAGTTCTTAGAGTTTGGATGGATTTGTTAAAATGTTTTTCAACAAAAGTTTTGAATTGAACAAATATTTGAAAAGTTTCAGATTTCGCACGTAATGGATAGACCCAACAAAATCTTGTAAAGTCATCAATAAACAAAAGATAGTATTTATATCCTTGCAAGGAAAGAGTAGGGGAGGGACCCCATACATCACTATGAACTAACTGTAAGCAAGCAGTAGTTTTGGGTACAGAAAGTTTAAACGGTAATCTATGAGATTTCGCTCGCACGCAGGCAGAGCAGTGAAAAGGAAATGCAAATTTTAAACTAGATACAGTAGTAGGAAGTAATTTGAGTGTTGAAGGAGAAGCATGGCCGAGCCGATGATGCCAGAGAGCTGAAGTAGAATCGGTTGTATGGAGAGCGACGGGAGACGATGTAGAGACAGCAGAGTCAGTTGGTGTGAGAGTAATGGGATAAAGACTGTGACGACATGGACCGCGGAGGAGAGTCCGGTGGGTCTGTAAATCCCGAATAACAAACCCATTAGCATCAAAAAGAATGGAGCAAGAATTGTCTCGGGTTAATTGATTGACAGAGAGTAGATTATGGGATAGACGAGGAACATGTAGAATTTTGGGTAGACGTAGCTTACGGGATGGTGTGGGTAAAATACCCTGACCGGAATTAGCAATGGTGAGATTCTGACCGTTCCCAACTTGCACTTGAGACGATCCAGTGTAAGCTTGTGGAAGTTGTATTTACTAAAAGTTGGACGTCAAGTGCGAAGTAGCTCCTGAATCCAGAAACCAATCATCGGTGGCTTGTTGATCTGTGGCAATGTATGCTTGTCACTACAGGAAAATCAACCACTTCCGGCGGCTTTTTCCGGCGGAATTTGACTATTTTTAAGTCGAAAAGCCGTCGGAAAGCCGCCGGAAAGCCGCCGGAAAATACCGCGGGAAAATTTTGCGGGAAATTAGCCGTCGCAAAATTTTGCGGGGAAATTAGCCGTCGGAAAACCGCCGGAAAGCCGCCGGAAAGCCGTCGGAAAGCTACTGGAATTTTTTGTTGGAAATAAGACGTCATAAACCGCCGGAAAGCCGCCGGAAAGCCGCCAGAAAATTGACCGCCGGAAAGGCTCCGGAAAATTCCGCCGGTAATAAGTGATTTTCCTGTAGTGTGTTGAGGCGGTTGATATGTCAGGTCCACTCGATACCAACATTGAAATGCAGAGTGACCAATTTTTGTACAGATTTGGCACTGAACAGAGGAGCGAGGACGACGGCCACCGCGAGTAGGAGGAGGAAAGCTGCGACCTCCTCTGAATGATTGAGTGGTAGAACGATCACGACTGGAGGAGGTATTGGAAGCTCGACCACGTGAACGACCACGAAACGCCTGAAGTGCAAATGAAGTATCATCGGAAGTATTGGATGGCATTGGAATGGGTTGATCAGCAAGTATACTGAGTTCCTCACTACAGAGAAGTGAGTAGAAGTCATCTAGACTTCTAGGTGCAAGTTGCGTGCGAATCGCAGTTTTAAAGGCATTGTATGCCGGAGGCAACCCATTAAGCATATACATCAGAATATCACCAGAATCAATTGTGGAACCAGAGGTAGTGATGGCATCTACTTTTTGTTTGATTTCCGACAAGTATTGAACCATGGATTTATCGCCTTTTTGAAGATGATGTAGTTCACTCTTGAGTTGCAGTTGTTTGGATCTATTGGTAGACTGCAGACGTTTATCAACAGTGATCCAAATATCACGAGTAGTGTTTAAATTTAAGACATACGGTAGAAGAGAAGCAGAAATAGTGGAATAAAGTGCCGAAGCTAGATTCTGATCAACGAGCATCCATGTCTTAAACTCTTTATTTGGAGTGGTCGAGCCATCAGAAGCAATAAGAAATTCTGGTGGAGAAGCGCAGGAGCCATCCAAATAGCCAGCAAATCCATTTGCCGAAAAAAGTTTTAATATCTGTGATTTCCAAATAGGATGATTCTCGACAGTAAGTTGAGTATTAATCACTGTCTTGACGTTCATCATCAAGAATTTGAGCTGTGGCGGTATTTCGACATCACTCACAGCAACTGGAGTTGAGACCGCCGGAGCTGTTGCAGAAGGCGCTAAAGAAGATGCTGACGAATCCATCTGAATCGTTGCAGCTAACAGAGAGGCTCCGATACCATGTTGACGAACGTTGTAGTTTCACCGAACCTGCATAAGAAGATTAGCGAAAACCAAGAACAGAACAATGCAGAGGAATTTTCATATATTCCTTGTGTTGCCGTTGCTATAGTAACAATTGATTTAAAGAGAAGAAGATGAAGATGCAGTTGTATCTCAACGGTGGAGATTAGAAGTTCGTGAAAGCAACTGAACGGTGGAGATTGAGTCAGTCTGCCAAAGGCTGTGAAGCAACGGCTCTGTAGTGGAAAAGTAAGCCAATTGATTTAATAAGAGTAGCTGCTTATAAAGTGCATAAAGTGCACTATCCATTATCAGAGCATCCTTTATATATTTTTCCTGTATCAGAATAAATGGGAAGAGAAATAAATGATGAAAGGTAGATACAGATAATTAAAAATGAAGGTTATATATTTAAATAAAAATTAAAACCATATGAAAATCAATTTTTCAAAATTTATTTATTTTCAATTACCTTCATATGAGCTTCTTCTGATGTATTTATTTTTTCATATTTGCAAAGAGTTGATGATTCAAATGTATCAATGCATAATAATAACCTGATAAGAGTGAAGTTTCCATTCAAATAAAAACAAATGGCCAAAAGCTATACCAAATGAAGCCTAAGGTCATGAAATATCCACGAAAAGAATCGAAATGTAAGGAGAGAGCCACTCTCCATCAGATGGCATATATTGATACCCTCAATTATAGAGCGTTTTCAAGTGTTTTGTGCGTTAATGATGTCAGAATTAAACGATCTTGAGATTGTTGAATTTGTCTCGTCGAGCCGCTCGATTCTAACATAAACATGATATATTTGGATGCTATTTAGTCATCTAATTTATGCATTGAATCTTTCAAATGTTTTAGGCCCCCAATTTGAACCCATTTGGGCTCAGATTGGACTAATTTTGGTGTTGTTGGGTCCGTCTCATCGAGACTTTTAGTTTGACTATAAATTCGTTGAAATTGGTATTCGAATGATCACGAATTTAATTTTAAAAATTTTGCACTTGAATATGTCCCAAGATTTGTGCCAGATCATGGCAATTTTGGATGACGTGTGAAGAATCTCGAGGCAGGTTTTTTTTTTTTTAGTAAAAACTCATGACGGGGCCTACGCATTAATATTGTTAAAAATTATATGTTCTTAAAGGAACGTAAGCTAACTAAAAATACATCACATGAATAAAAACATACGAGCTATCGATCCAACTAATACAATGATAATGAACAATTAAAGAAAAAAGAGCAAAGTGAAACAAAACAACCATCAACGCACCCAAAAGCAACAATCTAGCTACCAACGATGGTAAGTAACCAAGCACCTCGGCACGAAAGGGCAAACCTGCACAAAGCAAATAAAAGAACCACAACAAGAGGAGAGAGACCAACCCCAAAAAACCAAACGGATCGAACAGAATATCCAAATCCCATGAAGTCAAACAAACAACCACAAGAAACACCCATAGCTCACCAAAGCAACAATAAATAGCACACTCCAAATACAGGAGACCACACACTACAAAAATACTAATTACTTCATGTATATTCTCCTCATGCGTTTAGAGACATGCAAAAGAGCTTTATCAATAACCTTAACAACACTTAAGCCTTATAGCTCCTAAACTGATTGAAAATCATCAAATTCCTCACCTTTCATAGAAGACGGGGAAGTAGAAACAACATACCGATCCAAATTTCCAGAACAAGTGATACCATACGGATAAACAAATCGAGCAAGCAAACTTTTAGGGGACATAACCATTAAAGGGAGATCGACAAGAGCACCCTCAGGCCCATTAACAAGAGGCAAATCCATATCACCAACAATCCCAATGGGAGAGGGCAACATAGATTCCTCTAAGTGATAGGCGAAACCACATCACCAACCAGAGTATTACCAATTTCATTTCCACTTGCAATCACAACACATACGAAAGACTCGAATTTAAGA